ACTTGTAAATGTTTCACCTTTCTCTTCACTCTCATATTCCTCACTTGTAAGTGTCTTCACTTTTTCTCCTTTCTTTTTAAGGTTCCCCTCAAACTCACTCTTTTTCTTTTCATCTTTTCTCTCTTGCTCTCTTTTCAACCTCATGACTATTTGATCATCACACACTTGACTAGGAGTCATGGGCACTAGAGTGATTGTGCTCCCTTTATGTATAAATGTGAACTTGTTGGAATGACCATCATGAATAGCTTTCTTGTCAAACTGCCAAGGTCTCCCTAAGAGTATATGACTTGCTTCCATAGGCACTACATCACACAAGACTTCATCTTTATACTTGCCAATAGAAAAAGTAATTAAAACTTGCCTATTAACAACCAACTCCCCTTCATCACTCAACCATTGTAGCTTATAAGGCTTGGGATGAGGAGTAGTAGTAAGATTCAATTTCTCAATAAGTCGAATACTAGCCACATTGGTACAACTACCACCATCAACAATAAGAGAACAAACCTTTCCAAGTACCAAACATCTTGAATGAAAAATATTTTCTCTTTGTGTGGTATCATCCTCCTTAGCTAAACTACCCAAGAGACGCCTTACCATAAGCAAATCTCCCTCGTGGCATAAAGCTTCAAACTCACTATCCTCTTCACTTGAAGCGTGTGATGATTGAGATGAACTATCACTTGAGATCTCACCATTCTCTCTCAAAATCATGGTTTTCTTGTTTGGACATTGGGATGCAATATGACCATTTCCAAGACATTTGAAGCATTTGATTGCTCTATGCTGAGAAGTAGGAGAAGCAGAAGTATTAGTAGAATTAAAAGAAGTTTTAGAGGAAGGTTTACCACTTTGCACAATTATATCCTTAATTGATATTTCCTCCTTCTTTACTTCTTCCTTCCACCCTTTTGAGTTGTAAGAAGAGACATTCTTCCTCAAAGTACCCTTTCTCTTTAGTTGTGCTTCTACTTTAATAGCTTGGTGAACCAAATCTTCAAGTTCCACATAGGGATGAAGTTCCACTATGTCACGGATGTCATGGTTCAACCCATTTAAGAAACTAGCCATTGTTGCTTCTCTTTCTTCAAATACATTAGCTCGTATCATGGCAACTTCCATTTCTTTATAATAGTCATCAACACTTTTGCCACCTTGCCTCAAACCTTGAAGCTTTGTATGAAGCTCTCTATTGTAGTATGTAGGAACAAATCTCCTACGCATTAGGTTCTTCATTTCAGTCCATGTATCTAAAGGCTCCTCATCATATCTCTTTCGGTCCCTTTGAATTTGATCCCACCACACCAACACGTAGTCGTAAAACTCTAGGAAAGCCACCTTTACTTTCTTTTCTTCACTATAATCATGGCATGAGAATACTTGCTCTATCTTCAATTCCCACTCTAAGTATGCTTCAACATCATTCCTTCCATGAAAACTAGGAATTTTTATTTTAACTCCACCAATTCTCTCATTTTCTCTTATTCTTACATCTTCTCTTCTTCTTCTTTGATTTCTCCTCTCTCTATTATCTCTCCACCTATCATACCTCCTTTCTTCATCATCTCTCCTATTTCTTCTTCTTTCTCTTGAAGAATTACTAGAGTCTCCATGGGCATGTGAAAAATGATCACGTGACCGCCTTCTTGCATTATTTGCCAACGCCTCTTGAACATTCCTTATTGCTTCGTTTTGCTTTCAAACATGTTTTCAAATCTTTGAGCAAGTCTTTCAATTTGCGAGGCAGGAGTGCTCTCTCTACTTGATCCTCCTTCTTGAGACATTCTACAAAACAATAAAAGTTAATGCAAAAAGAAAAGGTTCTCTCCACTCGCTAAGTGTTTTCACTCAGTAGATATTCACTCGTGTTTCACTCTAAATTGACTTTTGTGTAAGGATTTCTCTCTTGTCTTTTTTCCCTCAAATGCTCTCAAGAGTTCTTAAGGAAGTCAACATCCAATCCACATAATTAACCAAAACCAAGAGACAATCAATCAATGAGACTCAAGTGAAGCCAACAAAAGAAAACTCTAAGACAAAACTAAGGAAGCCAACAAGACAATAGAAAAAAAAAGACTAAATAAGAAATAAGCACACTCAAAAATAGATTGCAAATAAGACAAAATTGGAGAATTTAAAGAAGATTATATAACGTTAAACAACTACTATTTTTTTTTTGTATGGAATCAAGCAAAATAAGTGAAAGATTGGAAGAAATATATCAAAAACACACTTTTGTGTGTTGCTATTTATTTATTTTTTGTAGTATATTTTTTTTCTCTTTTTTTTTCCAATGAGCAACGTGCGATGAATAGTACTTTTCAATCCAATTCTAACCAAAGCTCTTGATACCAATTGATGACAACCACAAACCGTGTTGCCGAATTAAACGATCTTGAATTGGATTTCACACAATAAAAAAGAAATTATTACGGCACAAATAAGAATTGAAATAAGAAGAAAATTAATAAGAAGTAAGAATAGAATAGAGATGAAAAATGGCGCCACAATCGCAAGATTGATAAGCTAAGGAACGATCGCCACAAGAGTTTTGGCCTCTTGATAAGATCAAAGAAAATTGGCTCACTCAAGAACCTAGAGTCACACGCTCTCACAAGAGTGTTCAATCTCAAATTATATTCAAAACTAATTAAAAGTGTGTTTACAAGAGCTTATATATGTCTAATGCTTGTAAACTAATACTAATGCAAACCCTAATGGGCTTCTTGTACCAACAAGCCTAAATTCAAATAGACTAAATAAAATAACAAGATTTTATCCTAAATAAAAACTCAAAATAAGTAATGACTAATATTAAAATAAATAAACGAAACATAATAATTAAATCCTAATAAAACTCGTTAGAGTTTAAATCCTCTAAGCATATGTAATTGATTATCTTAGACTTTTCTAACTCTAAATTGAGCTCCCTTTCAAATAAGACAGCAACAATCTTTTCTAAGTCTTCATTTATTCTTTTTGCCCTTACCCTTGTCATTGGTCCTTAAAACTCTTCCAATGCCTTCAAGTCTTTGTCTTCAATGGGCCTTCCTTGATTCTCATCAGTTAATATATGTCGAAAGGTCTTATTAATGCTGTGAGCTTGTTAGTTTATTTTGAAAATATATAAAGTTGTGTGGCTAAAGCTGAGAATATATGTATAGTTGTGCTACATCATGTTGATTTTCATCATTCTAGAGCTGAGTTACATGTTTAGGTGGTTAGACATGTAACGATAGATATGTTGAGCTGTGCTATGTTTAGATCCAAATACTGGGATGAGTCACTCCTAAACCGGAAATAGTTCATCTAAATTACTTAGGCTATAAAACCAACTGGAACTGAATTGCTGCATCTGCATTAGATGGGGCTATGAATGGACTGAACATGCTATATCAATTGACTGAGGCTGTTATGTTGATTGCCATGAATTACTTGCGTTATATAGATAATTTTAATATTTCCATACTTTATAGTTATGATTGTTGTTTATATAGGGTTACTCTTGCACTTTAGTTATATTGGCATATATGCTACAATGATTGTATGGTGGTACGTGGGCAGAAGTGATAGGTGATGCATCTACTCCCCATGCTAGATTGTCTGGCTAAGGGATACCTGAAGTTTAACATGCTTTTTAGAAGAATTGTAACCTAAACTACTTAGCAAAAATTTTTGAGACATGTAAATTTGTTTGTAATCTGTATTTTAAGCTCTATATTGAGCAACTCTTATGTAAATAACATTACAAAATATTATGTATGTATATATTTTGGAGTTGGGAGAGAAGGACCTTGTGACACCAATGCTAAAGGAACCATGCGAAGCTTCAGACACGGTGGGAAGTTTTGGAGTTGGTGGTGTAGAAAGTAGTGTTAACGGTGGAGGAGGAAGTGATTATGGAAGAGGAATAGGTGGATGTTCAAGACATGGTAAAGGTTTTGGAGTAACAATCGATATAGCTAGAGTGTGGTGGGGAGAAAATAATGTTATTCTGAAGTGAAATAAAGATAAAAGTCATTTTAACACAGTGCGTGTTACACTTAATGATAAAAGTTAATATTATTATGATAGAAATTATTAATTAAATTAAATTTTTTAATATTTTATAATTATTATGACAGAAATTGTTAATTAAATTAAAATTTTTAACATTTTATATCTAATGAATCTATCTAAAAATCTCATAGATTAATATGACGATTTATTATAAATTTTTACAATTATGAATTACTATGTGTGTAAAAATTATTGACTTTTGTAATAATTATTTCAAAAATCATATCTATTATGAATTGTAAAATATTTTACACTAATTAAACTCTTTTTTTCAACAAAAAAAAAAATTCTTGTCCAAAATATATTTATTGAAAATTGATAATTTAATTCCAAATGAAAATTACATATGCTCTTTTGTTATAACACAATTAGTTCACCCCTAAACAACTATCCTATAGCTGAATTTGAGTAAATTTTTACAAAATTTATCATAAAAGAAATCAATAAAAAAATTAAATCAAATTATTCTTGTAAGTTAAAATTATTTATGCTTCTCTAATTTTTTGAAATTATCTCATTTTACTTCTCTAAAAATAAAAAAAAATTCAGTTACAAGAAAATTTTATTATTTTTTATACAAATTTTTTTCTCTTATAAAGATTTTTTTAAAATTTACACAAACTGACCGTATATTGAATTCTTGACATACAAGTTTTCTACCAATCATATGGTAGTTACAAGTGATTTGCAGAAGCTTCTACATGCTTAAAATTTCAAGTATTTTTAATAGCAAGTCACCTCAAACTCCTATTGACACAGTAGCAAACAAAAGTTTTAATGTTATCTTTTACGTCATTCTGATACATGATGCATGCGAAATGGAGTGACCTTGCTGTATTAACCAATCCATTTAAGTGAACTATAAATATGATTTGTTCATATCCTCAAAATAAAAAATAAACACGCATTAAATGATGTGTTGAGAAATAGGAAGATAGAGTAAAGTGATTTTCTATATATGTCATCATCCCTAAGTGCCAACTTTACACTAAACACATTCGCGACCTGATCAGTAACGTTTTAAGCATTTCCTTTAGCATTTGGTTGCTTGATCAAAGCTAACAAACTCGTGTCCAACTAGGATCTTAACTTGTGTCCATTTGTTCTCCACCTTCATCCTGGTCTTGACTAATCTCATTATCTTTCTCATTTTTCATTGCTGCGGTTTCTTCGTCACCATCCTTGGTGATTTCTCCTGGGTTCATGTTGACAGGCGGCGGCAATGTTTTCTTCACCAGCTCTACTATTTCAGTAACCTCTTCATCTGAAAAACGCTGCTCACAAACCTCTATGATCTGTGTAATGAAAGTGAACAAACTGAATACAGTTTCACAAGGGGTACCTATAGAAATAGAAGTTTAAATTAAAATAGACAAAACACTTGGAAGCGTATTATTAGTCTCATAGATCCAAGTCTTACCTAGAATGAGGGAAATCAACATCAACATATAGAGATACAAGTTTCTTAGCAGAAAATTAGTATCAAACATAAGACACCACACTAATTCACAAGGCAACACCTTATCATTGCACTAAGATTTACCCTCTAATTCACCAATAGGTGTATATACAAGCTAATTTACTTTTTGGGACCAAAGAGAGTAAAAGCTACGTCTAATTGTCTAAATGCTTCCAACTGAGATTTCATCTGAGGGATTCCATAAAAAGAAATTTAGAAATTGATAACAAATATAAACGGTTAGAAAACGTTTCAAAACTGAATTGGTAATATTGCTTGAGAAACATCCAATTACTTTCCCTTTTGACCCATTAAAAGTTATCAATAATGTAGGTACTATGTTTCCAAACTTGTTTATCCTACCAATAACAGTTTCGTATACATTACTGCATTATATTTGGATAATATCAGAACAAAGTGATTTTTTCAGTAATTAGAAAAACAAGAATTCTGCTACAATACTTGCTAATTCTCAAAATATTTTTGTTGTTCAAATGTTACTGCTGACAAGTCAACATAACTTAAAACCCAATACTTCAAAGCTAAAGACAAATAAGAGAGGGAAAACATCGCAGAGAAAGTGGTTAGAGTGAAAAAAAGGCAGAGCTAAGATAACTTCTAACTAAATACTCAGGTAAAAAACAAATGGGAAAATCATAATTTTGATCCTTACTGGGAATATTTCAACTTCAGCAGCTGGCCTAATGTTTAATATGTTGAGAACCTCAGCTTCTGCGAGGTCATGTCGTTTAACCCTTGTCAAGAACTCATTGATGTTCTCTCTTGTTTGAACAGAGGCAGCAGTATCAACCAAATAATCATAAACCTGTTATATATGAATTACACAATTATCAAATTTCCATAGAGTAGCAAAAGCTGAAATTATCCATTAAAAAGGGCTATCTATGATCTCAGCAGAAAACAAAGCTAACCTTGTATTCAGACTGTGACACATTGGCAATGACCCTTGTTGGATCCTTTGAAGCTCCTTTAGCTCGTAAGAAATCAAGGACCTCAAAATTTGTGAGAGCACTAACATTAGCCTCCAAGCTACCACAAAGCAATAAAAATCAACAAAATCGGAATACGAAGAGAAAGATTGAATCGAAATTAGTGCATTAATTTTGAAAAGAAATAAAAAGGGTGGAAACATACATTTTCATCCGAAAGGTAGAGTTTGTGAGAGTTTTGGGGGCGAGAGGTTATGTATGTTTAGGGTTTGGAAGAAAAGAGGATGAAAGATGGATGCGACTGTGGGAGAAAGGTTTTTCAGGGTTTGAGTGAGATTATGGTAAATACTTAGAAAAAGAATTCTGAAATATCTTTAAAAAATATTTTATTATTTATAGTAATCATTTTATTATTTATAGTAATCTTATTTATTTTCAACTGAATTGTTTCAAATGAAAAATATTTATAATTTAAAGAAAACATATAATATATAGCTTATGACTAATTAATTTACTTATGATATTTTTATGTGTGATTTTGAAATGTTTTGAGAGATTTTTTTTTTACTTAATTAATTTCTTTTTTTCATCTCTTTTCTTCATCATTTACTTTTAAATTTTATATTTTGCTTTTGTTAATAAAAAATCATTTTTAAATTATATAATTAAATTTAAACATTTAAAATTAATAAATTTTTATTTTATTTATCATATTTTTATAATTTTAATGTAATAAATATTATTTTTAAATATTCAAGTTTAAATTTAAAATTTTTTTCATTGTAACTAAAATTAAAATTGAAGCTTATTTTTATTTTTTTTGTTAGAAGTTTTAATCTGAAATTAATTTTTTTTATTTTCCTCCTTGATTAAAGTTTAACATTAAAAATTTTAAATTTTGAATTCAAATTTTAATTAAAGTGAGAAAGAAATTAAAATTTGAATTTCAAATTTAATTTTCAATCAATATGAGAGAAAAACTAGAATTTAAATTTAAACTTAAATTAATGTTAAAGGAAACAAAATTTGAATTTTAAAATTTGGTTTAAGTGTGGAGAAAATTAAATTAAAATTTTTGAATTCAAACTTTGATATTAAATTAGAATTTAAATTTAAACTTAAACTTAAAAATCAATGTCAAAATTTGAATTTAAATTTTAAAATTTAGTTTAATTGAGGATAAAATTAAATTAAAATTTTCAAATTCAAACTTTAAAATTAAAAAGTAGCACACATAAATATATAACAATAACAATGTGACACATGTTACACTTAGATGTATGGTGCCAGTTCTTTTCGTACAATTTTTTTAAGTATGGTTGAATTCACTCATTTTGGTAATTAATTTTTAAATATTTTTATTGTAATAAATAATTTTAAAATTTTATTATTATTATTATTATAAAAAATTCAATCAAAATATTTTAGTGAAATTTATTTTTTATCATAATAGTTAATAAAATTAATTTTTTTAAATGTGTATATTAAAACTGAATGATATTAAATGATAGTGGTTTTCACACGAGTTATACTGTTTTGATAATATCTTTTTACAATAATAAATCTCTCTTGATCTTTCTTTATCACATCATTGATTTTATAACACTAGTTAATAATTACATGAATTACAACTCACTTTAAAAAAGTTAGAGAATATATATATAAATGGTCAATTTATAGCCAAAACAATACTCAATCAGAGGCCAAAACAACTCAGACGAGACAACTCTATAGGGCATATATAGAGCAAAACTGCTTCCACTACCACCCTATCCTATTTCCTTCCTCTGTCCCTTTCTTTTCTTTTCTCTCTTTCTCCATCTCTTCCAAGATGAAGTTCAGAGACATTGAGTTTCTTTATGGGAACAATACCCCAAAACAAATGATCCCAAAAGTAACTTTACTAGCAATCTTAGCCATGCTTATATTTACTATCACCCCATTGTCTTATCCTTTGTTTAGTTACTCTTCACTCAAGATGATCAATAAGTACAAACAACCATCCTCTGCATATCAAGAGCCAACAACCTTGTCCTCTACAAATTTCAAAAAATGTGACATTTTCAGTGGAGAATGGGTACCAAATCCAAAGGCACCATATTATACCAACAAAACATGTTGGGCAATTCATGAGCACCAAAATTGCATCAAGTATGGTAGACCTGACTCTGAGTTCATGAAATGGAGATGGAAACCAAATGAGTGTGAACTTCCCATTTTCAATCCTTTCCAATTCCTTGAAATTATGAAGGGAAAATCTATGGCTTTTGTTGGAGATTCAGTGGGAAGAAATCAGATGCAATCTATGATTTGCCTCCTATCAAAGGTAAGTAGTCTCTTCCACCCTCTTCAACATTGAAAATTCTACCATTCTTGCTCCATCATCATCACTATCATTTTTTCTTATTTGCTTTTGTCTTCTTTCTATTTGACTTTTTATATATCAATAATAGTCGCTTTGGTGTTACGTCATTTGGTATCTGATTGCATAGCAAGCCTGCATCTTTTCTTTTCCAAAACTTTAGAGCCAAAAACACTTCATTCGATGATGCCCTTTTCCTTTTCAATGGTAATCTATACATGGGATGGATTTCACACTCGTGAAAAGCAATCATTATACTTCTCTGTTAAGCTTTTAGAGTCGTGAAGATTAATCATCAATAAGGTTCATCCCCCTCCATAAATCTCTAATTCATCTGTAACTTGGCACATTATTTAAGCAATAAACCTTGGTTTCAACGTTCATTTAGTACTTAATTACTTTAATGTTTTCTCCAACCCTAATCGATTTTCAAAGAAAAAATCAATATTAAAATCTTGCACAATTTTCAATGCAAGTTGGATGGATATAATAATTACTTTATTCTATTAAATTGATTCCTGTGGCTTTCTAATCTGGCCCTTAATTAATACAGAGTTTAATACAATGCTTTGACTAGACGAAGGAAAAAGATATAAGGAAAGAAAAAGGAAAAAAAAAAATACTAAAAATTGTCAATAGACAATTATAATTTTTCTGCTTATTCTTAAAGAAAATTCATATTTCTATAATTTTATTCAAAATATTATTATTTTTTCATATAAAAAAGGTACAACAAAAACATAATAAATTTTAGTTTGCATTTTTTTCATGTGATTGAAGGATTAGATAAATTATGAAATAAAAAGTAACATGCATATTAGGGAATCTTTGAACTGGAAACTCTGCCGATCACATTCCATGTCTTCTACTTTTAGATGCCTAAACACATGAAACAGAGTGTATTCAGTGTTTTATAATTACATGCCTCTGTTCCAAGCTTTTCTTTAATTCTGAGTACCCAAACAAAAATAGTGTTTATGAGTTAGTGCATCCAATTTATACCCAAACAAAATTAGCTTATAGGCATAAAGCTGCTCTAAAAGTGACATTGTCCCTGCTGGCTATAGTTCTTTACATTTTATTGCCCATCTCTATGAATCACATAATATTATTAGGGAAGAGCTCAATCATGTCACCTAAACCACCCCTTAATTCTACAATTATTATTTAATCCTAACAAACCCCATGACGTAGAGCTTGTTGACACCTTACAATTAGAGATATACTAAAAAAAAGATGAAAAAAATGAAAAAAAAAAAAACATAATTTGTAATATATCTGAAAATAATTTTCAATTAAAATGTTTTAAAATTAAAGTTTGTTTAATTTATAATAACATTAATTATAAACAAAAATCAGGGGGCAACATAGAATGGGAACTTGAATATGAAGACTAATCAAACTAAACCAAAGGAAGGAAAACAGCTAATGCTTAGTGTTGTTTGACAATCCAACTAATGAAGTTGTTTGTGTGTGAACAATGAATAATTTCTTGTGGTATCTAATGGGACAAAACCTGATGGGGACCTTAATTATTATAGTATATAAATAATGCTAACACACTATCTTTTTTCATAGGGTTTAATTTTGATATATTATTAATAAAACAATTAGATTATCAGTTAGTTGAAATATATTAGAGATATTGTTTTTAAATTTATTAACATAAAAAGTAATAATTTTTGTTAATATAATAAATTATATTTAGATGATAATGTAAAAAAATTATATTGTTAGTGTATTTTTATTAACTTTTTATATCATCACCTAATTATATATCGTAATAAACTGACATTTCTAAACTGACATTTTTTTATCATTTAATTTCTGCACTTTCTTCAAAATATTCTATCTTGGTAATTGTAAATTAGGTCTTTTTTTAGAGATGAAATATTAAGGGTGTATAGGTATAAGAAAAGGGTTATTTAATCTTATCACTAACTTTTTTTTTTTCTAAATTTTAAAAATTTATTAATTTCATTAATTTTTGTTGTCACTATTTAAAACAAAAACATTCTAAAATAAAAGAAAAAAATTATACTATGAAAAGTTTAGAAAATTTAAATCCACGTGGTAACTGTGGCTGGGTCCTTCGAGTTTGAAATATGCACCAATTAGGAACAAGAAAGCTTGACCTGAATAGCAAGAGAGGCCAAATGATATTAGGGCTGTTAAAGAACCTATTCCAATAGTTTCAAACTGTTAAATTGATAGAAAAGTTGAAAATTAAAAAATTGTTTTTTATTTGGTTTATTTTGGATTCTTATATTCAATTTGAACTAAACTAAAGTTCAAGTATATTAATTTTCTATTCTATTCTTATATAAATGTTAATTGAAAATTATTTTAAGGACTTGTCCTGATATTTAACACAAAAAATAATATTATAACACTCCTCTTACTATTAATTAAAATTTGTTAAAAATTACTAAAATTAAGGAAATTCTACACTTTCTTATTTCTAAATTAATATTTTTTTCAATACACAATAATTAAACAAGCTGAACATAATTTTTAAACAGTTGAATTTATATAAACCAAGATAAAATTCACCTCATTAAGTGTATCTAAATTGTGTGAAAAAATTTACCCATTCACATAACTTGTGTAGAAAACACACCATCAGTTTGCATTTTTCTAGAATATTTAGAATCTCAATCATATTTTAAGTGTATCTAAATTGGAATATTCTTTTATTGCAATTTAATAATAAATAAGCCATATATAAATTTGATAAAAAAAAAATGTAAAATTAGATTCAATTATGTTGACTCGTTATGATGAAAAAAAATAAGATTAAAACATAAATTAAACAGAATACCTTGACAAATTATTGTCATCAACACTGAGATCTAATTATAAATTATTACATATTTTAAAATTATTCACATTTATAATAATTGCTTTAAAAACTGTTTAAGGTAATTTTTATTCGATTAACAGAATAAACTTGTTCATACTAATAATATATCCAATTAAATGCAAAAATTATAATCTCAATAAACTATTTTAAGTTTCTTATGCCTAATTGAATATTAAAATATTTCAAATTAAGTATATTTGGTTTCATTGCTTGGTTGGGACTACTAAAATTAATAATAATTACAATACAATTGTGTAAAGTAAATTGTGGGCAAACTCGTATTATAATTTTAAAAAAAAATCAATGTAATTAAAAATCAGAAGAATTTTCAAATTCCCTTTTTGTTTTACTATCTGCATATATGAGTTCTCTGTCTGTATCCAACAAATGAGTATAATCTCCTTAGATTTCACACTTTTGGTTGTTGTGGATATGCAGTTAATCTACTTATAGATTACTGTGTTCATTTTTTTCTTGCAATAATATCTATGAAATTGTTAAATTTTAGTCTTCTTAACTTTGCAGGTAGAATGGCCCATAGATGTATCATACTCAAGTGATGAATCTTTTAAGCGATGGAAGTATCCAAGTTACAATTTTACTATGGCTATCTTTTGGACACCCCATTTAGTAAAAGCAAAAATGGCTGATTCAAATGGTCCAAGCCACACTGGTCTTTTCAACCTTTATCTTGATGAGTTTGATGAAAATTGGGCAACCCAAATTGAAGAGTTTGACTATGTGATTCTTAATGGAGGACATTGGTTCTTTAGACCAATGGTGTTTTATGAGAAACAAAAAATTGTTGGATGCCATTACTGCCTCTTAGAAAATGTCAATGACTTAACCATGTTCTATGGCTATAGAAAGGCTTTTAGGACAGCATTCAAAGCTATTAACAGTTTAGAAAATTTCAAGGGTGTAACATTTCTTAGAACATTTGCACCTTCTCATTTTGAGAATGGATTGTGGAATCAAGGTGGAAATTGTGTGAGAACTAAGCCATTTAAGAGCAGTGAGACAAGGTTAGTAGACACCAATTTAGAGTTATATATGATCCAATTGGAAGAGTTCAAAATTGCTGAGAAGGAAGGTAAAAAGAAAGGTCTAAAATTTAGGTTACTTGACACTACTCAAGCAATGTTATTAAGACCAGATGGTCACCCAAGTAGATATGGGCATTGGGCACATGAGAATGTGACATTATATAATGACTGTGTGCATTGGTGCTTGCCAGGGCCTATAGACACATGGAGTGATTTCTTGCTTGAAATGCTGAAGATGGAGAGCATAAGATTTTCAGATGGAGAAACCCTTCATTTGCAAACAAATTAAAAGGCTAAATTTATTAGTCACTGTTTTCTTTTCTTGTAAACTATCATTGATTATTTATTTTTTTGTAATTTTATAAAGATAAAATTTGTTGTGTTATGATAAAATTGAAGGCTTTTTTTAACCTTGTCAGAGACTAAGAACACTTTGTTAGGTAGTAAATTTGAATACATTATTCTAGATACTAAAATAAAAAATGGTGGTAACATTAATTAATTAGTCCTTTAAAATATGTTGATATTATAGATAACGAAAATAATATTAATTTGAAAGTCAAATTAATAATCGAGTTTGTTTAAAAAAAAAAAAAACTTATAAACCACTTATCAAGAATAAATTATAATTTTTATTAATTATTTTTAATTTATTTCAATAAAAATTTTATTTAACTTGTCAAAATAAATAATTTCTATTTTATTTTAATAAATTTTAATTTTTAATTTATTAACATAAACTATCGTTTTAAAAAATTATCAAATAATCACTTAATTAAATACTATTATCAAATGCACTTTGGTCAATGTATAAATGTATTAATTTGTAATTTATTGGTTTAACTATAGTTGAAATGATAATTTAATATATTTTATTTTGAATTTATATAAATTATAAGAAATTAAGTTAGATAATTTTATAAATTGATATAACGGATTATGCTTTTATTTTAATTTCTCTTTTTTTTTCAAGCTATTAGTCAGACTGACATCTCTCTAAATTAATTCTTTTAATATTTTTCAAAATAGAAGGAGTTGTCATATGATTGAATTTTTTGGCATTGGCTATAAAATATATTTTTTTCACAAAAATTGTTGTACTCATAATTTATCACTGTATGTTTAAAACAATAATTTAAAAAAATAATACTCCAAGCTTCAAATTTCCATTCAATATACCGTGTATTTTAAAAAATAAAATAACATTTCAAGTATTTTTTTATGGAAAGAAAAATCAAAATAATTTATTTTAATTAAAAATAAAAAATTATTTTTAAATAAAAAATATTTTAGCGAGATATAAATCTGATTTTAAATATGAAAGAAACAGAGAAACTAAAAATTAAAGAAAGAAAAATAAGTGTAAAAAATAATTTTTATTTTTAATTATAATTTATTCATTAATTTTTAATTAAATTGAATGACTAAACAGTTATCAACATGATATATGATATTAATATGGAAATAAGAAATAGTATTCCATATACGTATATATTTGTTTAAAAAGTATTTTAGAATAATTAGAAACACTATAACTAATCAAACTTAATTTTTATCAGTTTTAATTGCTTTTAATTATTTTTTTACTTTAGTCTTTAAAAATATCTATAATAGTGATTTATTAATTGATCGATGTTTAGTTAAACTAACTAATTTTTTCAATTCGTTTTAATATTTTACTAATTTTAATCTTTTACTAGTGTTTATTACGGTACTAATAAATTTTGAAAAATATCATATATTTTTTAAAATTAATAGTTATAATTTTTTAATATTTTAAATATTAAAAATTATTTATATTATTTTAAAATAAATTACTAATCTTATTTTTTTATTAATTTAAAATTAACAATAATAACTATTTTAAAGAGCATAAAATACTCTCTTAATTATCTCAGCAACAACTCCAAAGATTAATAATTCTTATTATATTTATAAGTATGATCATATTTTTAATAAAAGAAATATGCATTCAAATTTACTCGATATAAATTTTTCTTATACTAACGACAATTAGTTGCGTATTGCTAACAAAAATTAATCATAAACATTTTATACTTGAGGACATCCCGTGACTTCTCTTTGAATAAAAAAAAATATTACATAATTTTTAATTTTAAAAATGTTTTTTAATTTATATAATTATTTTTATATTTAATTTTAATTTTCAAAATATATTACTTATTTTTATCCTCATAAATTTAATAATTCTAAAAATACTCATTATTAACGTCTAGCGATGACATAACATCTATTTATTAAGTTAGGGACTATTTTGGGTTGATACAATATCCATCTAGTGTTTAAATTTCTGTCATTTATTATTAAGTAAAAAATAAAATATTTAAAATTTATAAAGATTAAAATTAATATACAAATTTAAAATTTAATTCAATCATATTAAGAGTTGGTGGAGACCACGGCCAGGAACAGTGGCAATTCAATAGTGAAATGAGGATAGAATTTTTTATATATAAAATTTAAGTATAAATTTTTAATATATTTTATTATTTTTAGTTAAATTTAATTTTTAATATTTAAAATTTTAAATGTTTTCTAAATAAGATTTTAATTTTAATAAAAAAGTAATATGAATAATATTTAAAGAATTATCCATAAATTTTATACTTTTTTCCTGAACATGGGACCCGTAGACGATGCTTTCTAAAAGTGCAAGATTTAGCATTAGAAATTAATATTAAAATATTGATTTAAATATTTTTATCTTTTATTTATGCTTATAAATTTATAAAAAAATATTTTCATAGACTAAAAATGTTCCTTTTTTCACATCTTTCCTCATATGGTTAGTTCATTCAGTTTTATAATAAAATAAAATAAATTAAATAAAAAATACCGTAAAATGTGCAATATAAGCATAAAAGTACTTTTTTTTAAGGTAAATTTAAAGTATTCATAATTTTTAGGATACTGTACATGAAAATTTTTAATTAATAATATTTAAATATGTGTTTAAATATAAATTTATTTAATAATAAACTATTATATTTATTATATTTAAATAAGTTAAAAAGTATTTAAGTTAAAACTAAATAAATTAAAATTTAAAAATAAAATAATAATATTATATTAATATATTTTTTATATTTTAAATTTTTTTATTATTAATATTTAATTATTAAATTAATATATTATTTATAATTATTTTTATTTATAATAAATAGAAAGTACTTAAATATGAATTATATTTTATTTAAAACTAAAAATTTATAAAAAAATAATAGAAAAAGAAAATAAAAATTTAATATACAAATAACAATAATAAAGATCATGTTATAAATAATATAAATTTAAATAAATTATATATAATAATTTTTTTAACTTATTAAATGTCTTTTCTTTGGTATAAACTTTTTAGATACAATATCTATCAAAAAAAGATTTAGGTATCACGACACACTTTTTTTAATCTAATAAACATAAAGTAGAGTAGATGATCTATTAAAGTATCAATATTTAATGTGAATATGAATTTGACTCAAATACAGCATACATTTAAAATGATAAATGCTAACATGTAAGAACGTTGGGTAAAGAATTAAAAGTAAAAAGAAATAAATCTAAAATTTTTAACAATAATCCTTGTTCACAATTTCAATCAGGACTAGGTAATTTTTAATAATTTATTATTATAATTTATCTAATCCTTGCAATTGTGAAAGAGATCCTTAAAATATTTATATTTGATTCTTTATATGCATAAATATCATTAGTGATGAAATCCTTTAACCTTGATAAGTAATTAAATCACCAGATAAAACAAAAGGGTCAAATAGAAAATACAAAAAGAGCATAAACAAAATTTAAAAAGAAAACCCACTACAACAAACCTTTTTTGTGAAACATCAACACCAAATAATGGCACTCAACTAACAGCCTCAAAATCAAATCCAAGTAGTAGCCTTCATGGCAACTACTACTACTACTGCTACCACTTTTCTATGAATCCAAAGGATGGATCTAACACACTTCATAGACCCCACCATTGTTAATGTGGAATATAGCCATCTCATGCATCCTTGTTGCTTGTCCATTTCCTTAAGCTTCTGACACCAAGTCACTTTCTGATGCTTATGCCTTTCTGTCTTCACATGATTGCATGGTAGATCATAGCATTTTGCTTTTCCATGACCCATAGCTTTATCCTTATTCTTTCCTACTCTCACTAATTAACTTTAGTTTTACCCATGATTGATATTTGACCCACTAATTAATTAACTGCTCATTTAATTATCTACATTTCTTTGCCCTTTGACAAAAAATAAAGTAATCTAAAATTTTGTAAAATAAAAAGAGTAGTTTCTTTTTATTTTGTTTGTAAAATATTTTTTAATTTATTTTAAAAGAATTTATGATAAAATCTATAAAATAAAGACATACTTCAATTATATTTTCAAACATATCCTAAATCAAGCTTGCAAATAACTCTTATCCACATAGAAGCATTGGCATTATATGACACTCAGAAGGGGGCTCACATAAGTGGGGTTACGTATTGATTCTTTGAGAAAAAGAAGTTGATGTAACATTGATTTTACTTGTTCCAGCTAGCACTGATGTAATATTTAGTTACCAGTAAAATATCATTTTAGTTTTTAAAAAACTTGAAGTCAATTGTATTAATTTTTAAGAGATAGTAATATTATTTTCGTTCATGGAAATAAAAAATACCATTTTTTATACCAATTTGGTTCTTGAAGAAAGACTGAATTGATCTATACTTTTATCTTTTAAAAAAATAGTAGTTTTTATTATCTTTTGAATTTAATGTAATTGATATTGCATCTTTTAGGGGACAAAATATGATTTATTCATTCAATTATGCTTATTAAGCTTCTCTCTTTTAACACATGGCAATATGAAAAACATAAGATAAGAAAATAGTATAAAGAAAAATAGTAAACGCTAACAATAGCTTTTATTTTTGTGCATTTCCATAAAATATTCATCCAACAGATAAATATTTACTGAAATAAAAGTAGTCCTTTTAGTTAATTGAAACGCAAAGCAATAGGGGTACGAGTGATGCAATTATTGAAAGGCAATGTTCAAATAAACCTTTGAAGTATTTCTGTAAAATCATAATACGTGAATTATCTTTCAAAATATTAATAAAATTGAAAAAAAAAAAGATAAGATAGCTGAAAAATAATAATATTTATATGCTTTTAATATCTACAACTCCTTGGTATTTAATTTGTAGACTTAAGAAGGAAGGAAAGGAAACTATGATAAAGACAAAAATTGAATCCATAAAAGCAAGTACATTATGATTGATCTCATGTGGGCCTATTAGCTCATTGATACACTTGTGATTAGTTTAGTTCAGTGATTAGCCACACCCAAATTCATTTTCACAAAGGGAAAAAGAATAGTTAAAAAGTGATACTTCTGCATCTTCAATCTCTCATTTTCTGGATGTAATTAACTTAGGAAAATTAATTTAAGCTAGATGATGGGTACTTGGATCAAGAATTTCGGTTTTAATGTGTTTGAGTCAAAAGAAAGGTGCTGCATCGCATCAAGCAAAGGTACTCCAAGCTAATTGTGTTAATGGATTCAACATGTGTTAATACCTATTTATTCAAAGTTTACCTTCTTTTATCCTTCATAAAAAGGAATTTTACAAATATTTCCAACTTGATTAAATTAGTTTTTTAATAATTTTTTTATATACAATATTCGAATGGAGACTTTACTTTAAAACATTAACTATCACTATTTAAAGTTTAAATTCAGTGAATTCAATATTCAAAGGAATAACTTTGCTATCAATAATGATTATTGTCTTACTCAACTCCAACAAGATTATTTCCTATAAAAGATACATAAATGAAAAAGGAAAAAAATTACCCATTAGTTGTTCAAAGCTACTTTTATCAAATCATTCTAGAATTAAGATTATCTTGATACATTTTTTTTTCCATTAAAGCATTTAGATGAATCTTTTTAACACCTTGCGGAATATAAAAGCCTCAAACATATATGGTGGCGTGTAACAAGAATGAATCAGTATGACATGTGTCTGAGTAATATAACATAACGTGAAATGTGAAAATTGGAAACAAAAAAATGTGTCTAGAATGACTTCACTGCCAAGGGAAGCCAAAGGCTAAGGCAAAGTTGTATGAAATTCAGAAATGAATCACAATCATTTCAAGAGAAATTACCCCTATGAGATTACTCAAATCGAAAGTGTTCAAAAGTCTAAAATTTGCTAGAGGAATTAATTGAAACTTTTCAGAACTTCACAAACTCATCATCACAAAAGCTTTCCATCAAGCTTTGCAAATGGCCAAGTTTTAACTTACGAGTAAACCCTTCTTTTTAAGGATTTAAGTGCTGCTCATTTTTGTGCTAAAACATCAATTTAATCTTTAAATAATGAAAATGACGTTGATTTGATCTTCTTAAAAATTGACAATGATTTACTTCTATGAAAAAATATCATTAGTTTTAACAGGAATATTAAATTGATATTGAAATTTTTTAAGGAATCAAATTGAAGTTTCACATATTATTATTATTATTATTATTATTATTATTATTATTATTATCTGTAGCTAAAATTCAAGCTTCTGCTTGATTCCATATCTTTAGAAAATTAAATACGAAACTGATATCTTAACCACCAAGCTTTGGACATTGTTTTGGGCTGTCATGGAACCATGAGTACCCCACCACAAGAAAAGTTAGTTTAACTGGTATTCCCAGAAATTATTGTCAAATTGAATTGAGAGATACTCCAATACGAAACTTCATCTAAATAGTCATTAAAACGCATTAATCAAAGCTATTAATTGTGATAATAACAATCTAACAATGTCGATTTAGCAAGCTCCTAAAGAAACTTTGATCAAGGTAAATCTTTTAAGACATTTAGCTCAAAAGAGACCTCCCAAGATTTCTATTTTAATATTTTCTTTCTGGTACATAGAATTTTTTTAAAAAAGAATCATGTTGAAGGTGGATGGAACTACCAATATTTTTTATTTAAAAGATTAAACTATTATTTTTAATTAAGTGTCTAAATTTTGCATTACACAAGTAGGATATACTTCAATAATTAAGATGAAATCTAAAATATAGAGAATGCATACATTGCAGATATTATGAATAAAAATTGAACCGACTTTGATTTGATGGTGGTTTGGATGTTATAATGCAATAAACATACACAAACAATGTTTTTAAAAAAAGAATAATTATGCAATCACTGTAACAATGGATGATTTGCAAAAAGTCATTGATTTGTTGGGTTTTATATGTTTCCCTCTCATCACTTCATATTTTATTCCCTTTCCCTCCACATCCTTCCAAACTATGCTAACTTCAGGTAACATTCTCCCGAACCCACCATTTGGTCTTATTTTCTAAAAGAAATTAAACATATATGGACCACAGGTGATGATATTTTCTCTTTTAATATTTTTATTTTCTTTTATGCAGCAAATTTTGGACAAAAACACCTGTTGAAAATCAACAATCTGTCGGCAATATTCCTATCCCCTAAACCACTACTTTCTTCCAAACTTCATCTCAAATATAGGGCTCATATGCCTTTGCTATGAACAATGATAGAGTCACAACAATGGAAAACACAAAAAATGAATACAAATTGTTCCTTCATATCATTGATTTTGATAAGAAAAATACTGAAAGATCACCTCTTCCTAGAGGGGCATGTGATGACAATGTTCAAAGTGACTCTCAATGTTACACAACAATTAGTTATGTATATAGCATTATTCAGTGCATAAATAACATGTAATCCAACAAGGGTAACCAAAAGGCCAATAATTTAATAATATTCTATATTGAAAATTCATCAAAATTAGACCATAATTGTTTATGGATAGAAAATTAAAAGGGAATAAAGGAGACACAATTAATATTTCAGGGCTGAAATTTGGTTCTGTTCTTCAATCCTGAAACATCTCATCTTTCCTTTTCTTTTTAACTTTGCTGAAACTAGTTTGCTTTTTCTTTGATCAACATGTACAAAATGCATTGAGCGTAAACTTTACTATTCATGCTTTGGAAGGAGGCTGGTTGGTAGAACTTGAGATCTACTTACTTAGCCGTACATGCTTACTTAAAATTATATTATTATAATAATAAACAACAACTGTTTTTCATAATAAAATAATATGGGCAAACTACACTTGCACCCCTTAAAGTTTAATACAATTACACCTACATCTTTCTTTTTTCTTATGTTACTTTAGCATCTCCCCATTCATATATTGGCATAAGAAATCAGGGATGATTTCTGTAATCAAGAAGGATACGTAGTATTATCTTGTTACATAAAGTAGTGAATTTTTGTCAAACCTCAGGGAGGGTGAGTGTGATTTACTATAATAATAATAATAAAATCTTTCTTACCAGTTTTAGTTTCTTCCATTTATTTTTGGTTTTGACACTTCCACAAACTGGCAAATCCTACTAAACCTGAGTGCAAAAGCAACTTTTTATTCTTGGATTCCCTCTGCTGGTTTTTAAAATAATTTTATTCTATTTATTTTGTAGTTTTTGACATCTTTTATCATTCAGACTTAGTAATTTAAGAATTGGCCAGCAGCCACAAAGCTTATTTGTCCTTATCCATACATAATAAAAGATGTGAAGAACCAAGCACAGGGACCATTGGTTATGCAAATCTAGAAGCTGAAAAGAAGCCAGAGTGTTTTATAGCTCAGTTTAGAAAAAAAGCAATTCCACCTTTACAACTAAAACATTGAAAGTGGGCACACAAATAAAAAGTGAAAATGAGAATTTTGTTTCTTATTTTGTTTTTTCTTTTTTCTCCCTTTGTTTATGTACACATCGGAGTACCATTACTGAACAATGACATTTCAACAAGACTGTGACACATCATGAACTAATGAAGGTGATTTAACTGCAATATAGAAGACTTTGATAGAGTTTAAGTTTAAAACTGAATTTAAACTTTAAAAGTTTATCCTAACCAAACAGTAGGATAAAGTTCATATTTATTTATTTGAGCTATTCAGCAAAGCTCTTTGATTCAGAATATAGCTCAGCAATGAAGTTTCGGGCCAATGAAATTCTCAATGGGAAGTACGCAACGGTTTCCACTGCCAAAAGTGTTTTACTGTTACCATTCACTCTGCTTCTTGTAATGCTTCCGCTTTCTCTTATGAGAAACTCACATGAATCAACTCCTCAGATATCTGCGGTCAGAACTTTGAACAACACAGAAATAAAACAATGTAACATCTTTTCTGGAGGATGGATTCCTTATCCTGAAGAACCTTACTACAACAATGAGACATGCAACTGGATAATAGACCAGCAAAACTGCATGAAGTTTGGGAGACCTGACAGAGAGTACCTGCATTGGAGGTGGAAACCAGATGAATGTGACCTTCCATTATTCAATGCAACTCAATTCTTAAGGCTTGTCAGAGGAAAGAAGATGGCATTTGTTGGGGACTCAGTTGGGAGAAATCAGATGCAGTCTTTGTTGTGTCTCTTAAGTCATGTAAGTCATCACTCATCAATTCACACCCAAATTCTTAAAGATATTTATCATAAGATCTCTTTTAATTTCGTCCAAAATTCTTCTTGGTCTTCCTTTATAGGGCTACAAATCATGCACATCATCTTCTTCATTGGTGTGGATATATTCAAACCACTTTAACCAGTTTTTTGTTATCTTCTCCTCAATAGTTGTCTCTTCAGTATGTCCTCATACAATTATTTTTTATCTTATTCTTTCTCATATGACAACACGCATCTTAACATCCTCATTTTTATTACTCACTTTTTTCTCGTACAGTTCATTTAAAGCTTAACTCTCACTACCGCAGAAGATAGCTAGTATTTTTACCACAACCCCATTGTCTTAATTCATCATTTACTAGTTGTACTTATGAGCGAAAATTTTGTTAATGAGCTGCTTTTCATGCTCACATTTGAAGTCCTACTTAGATGACTAATAATTAACAATCCTAAATGTGGTTTACTCTTTCAGGTGTCTCAACCTGAGGACATTTCTCATAGATATTCATCAGATATTTCATATTTCAAACGGTATTTCTATGCTGATTACAGTTTCACCCTTGGAACACTGTGGTCTCCATTTTTTGTGAGAAGCAATGATGCTGACCAAAGTGGTCATTCCTATAACAGCATCATGAGACTGTATTTAGATGAGGCAGATGAAGCATGGGCTAGTCAAGTTGAAAACTTTGACATTGTGATCATCTCAGCAGGACAATGGTTCTTTAGACCCCTATTGTATTATGAAAAGGGTCAACTTGTTGGATGCAACAAATGTGGAATGGAGAATGTCAAAGACCTTGCTCACTACTATGGATATAGGAAAGCTTTTAGGACTGCATTTAGAACTCTAACAAATCATAAAAGATATAAGGGTGTCACATTTTTAAGGACATTCTCTCCAGCCCACTTTGAGAATGGAGATTGGAACAAGGGAGGGAATTGTGTGAGGACAAGGCCATTTACCAAGGAAGAAATGAAGTTAGATGGGTATATTCTAGAGACATATTTGACACAAGTGGAGGAGTTTAGAGAAGCACAAAAAGAAGCCACAAAGAGGGGTTTGCAGTTTTTAATGATGGACACAACTGAAATTATGTTGTTGAGACCTGATGGACATCCCAACAACTATGGACATTCCAAAGACAAAAATGTGACATTAAATGACTGTGTTCACTGGTGTATACCAGGCCCTGTTGATACATGGAATGAGTTTTTGCAATATATGTTGAATATGGAAAGCCATGCATCTTATAGTTCAAAGCTATAGAGTTTTTTAGAACATCGGATTTACCATGTTGACCATGTGGAAGATATTATTATTCTGTCTTTGGATATGCAAAGTATATTGTATTATTTTTACCTGTATTTATTATACAAAATGGAGAGGGGGGAGGGAATGGGGAAAGAATTCGCTGAATGTATTTATCCAATGTAGATAATTAAATATATGATGTATATGCAAAGTTACACGTCATCAGAAGTAGATATTTTCAGGTGTTTTTTTTTTAATAAATCACAAATATCTTCTAATAAAAACCAATTTGATTTGAACTACGAGTGACAAAACTATTTCTTTGAGTCTTTAACACAGCTGTATTTATTGAGACTTAGATTCGAAATTACAGATTAAACTGGAATAATTTTTGTAAGTTGATTTACGTGTTTGATAGTTTTTAACTGTCCTTAAAATATATTTTTAGAATCTGTGTATATAGAAAAGATAAAAATTAAATGAGATAGATACAATGGTATAAAATATCAATTTTTTGTTGTTTAAATAACAAAACCATTGTAAATTTATTTCTTTTTTTGGTCAGTATTACGCATTTGATTTTCTATTTTTCTATCACGTGTTTTGATTCTAACATTCGGGCCGAAGAAGCTCCATTGTCTCCTAATTGCAAGCAAGCACATTCGTGCAAGAAGAGCCCAATGGTTATTACAATATAACTTTTCGGCGCAGTAACCTGAAAGCAGTGCTGATATTGAAGAATTGGTGAATTCATTACTCTAGGCTTTGGCGTATAAGTTTGTTTTACTTGTTTGTATATGAGTTTGAATAAGCTCAAGTTTGGATAAAATTTTAAAGAAATTATCTCAATTTAGCTTCTCTAAGATTTTAGGAGATAAATTGTTTTTAAAGTAGAAATTTTTTTTATCTCATTTGACATTGTCCTAAAATCTTAGAGAAGCTAAATTGTATATAGTAAGTTCGATGATATGTTTTGACATTGTCCTTGAGAGTTTAGACAAAAGTCTCAAAGAATTCCATATTCCAATACTTACAACAAAGGTTAAAAGTATTACCTCAATTTCAATAAACTCAAGGATACTACTGCAATCAAATTTCCTTAATGTTTAATATACTTAGATTTAGTAAATCGCATGTCCTCCATGTTTAATTGATTGAATTTCCTTAATTAAAATTTCATTAAGAATTTCATCGCTTATTTAATTCCGGTTTGATTAATATACTTATTAATTTATTTTACTTTAATTTCCCATATAATTGTTACCCTAGATAATTAAAACCGTTGTAACTTGGTAATCATAGAATCTTTGTGAAGAAGATACTGAACTTGTCATTCTATCACTGGTAAAAGTCTAGCGTGAACTTGTGGGCAGAAGTGACTCCACTTTGAGTAGCGAGAACTATCATACCGATACACGAAGTAGATAAGAAAAAAGGACGACCAAACAGGGGAGAGCCTTCGGGGGCCTTGCAAGGGATTGCGCAATGCTTGATCTCACATTTATGATCTTGATGAAGACATTCAAATATGACAATGGATTATGCAAAGGATTGATGTATGATATATAAGCAATTTCATCGAAGCCAAAATGACAATGTCGACTTCAGCATGTGAGGCTGCCCATCCAAGATGGACTAATAAGGTTGACATTATTTTAAAAATTATATCAACTTTTTATTTATAAAATTTCATTAGTCCACCTGAAATGGGAGTAATGGGATTTCTTAGACAAACCCCTATTTTATTCCAAAGTGTGAACTAAATTTGAACTGTCATTTTTCAGAAATACTTGAGCCTCAACATATAAATTTGAATGTTGCTTAATCTTGGTTAGATTTAGCCACTCGGTAAGTATCACTGGTCACTTCTTTTTTGAACGCCATTTTTCATAACAGTAAAATCAAATTAACTCTAGTTTACGGTAGATATCATATCATATGTTATTTTTTATATTCTGCACATATTCGGGTATAGCAACTACATTTTATTGTACTTATCTTTCCCTCAACTTTAACTGTACACACATGCAACATTTTGATCAAACTTCAAAGCATGAATAAGAATTTTGCACAAACTTCTTTGTATATGCAGGACATTTTTAATTAGTACAAATAAAGGTTCAATCATGGACAGTAAAAATTAACATGTCATCTTAATGTGCCAATGCTGGTTAAAAAGATATCCTGATAAATACTAGTATGTGTAAAGCTAAAATATAAAGCACAAATGCCGACCTCAGCAGCATAAGCCTCTGCTGGCTTTCAGTTTTGCCAGCAGAATGGTATGGAAGCCTCTGATGACCATCATAATCAGACAAACCATGTACCTTATCAAAGGAGCTTTTACCAAAACGATTCCTAGCAGTATTCACTTCTGAATTGTAGCTTTCAATTTGTCTCCACTGCCCATTCAATTTTTCCAGCTCCATCTCTTTCAGATGAATTTCACTAAGTAAGCCCTCAGCTTGTGCCTGAAAACAAGAGAATAAGGCACTTTACTAGACTTTTTCACGAATAATCAATCAAACAGTTATTAACTGGCTATTCCAATTTTTTTTCTTGAAAAAAGGGGAGAATAAAACAGTATTGTAAACACAGGCAGTTTCCTATATGTCAAGCATATACTGTGAAGTATAAAAGCACCTGTTTAATTGCTAGTTGCTCAATTAGACCATGAAGCTGTTTATCCAATGTCTTCTCTCTTTGCACTGCAGAACAAGAATGTTTTAAAGCCAAAACAATACGTGCAGATGCTTCTTAAGTGTACAAAATTTCTGGCAGATTAACACAACAAAAACAATAAGAAATTATATTCAGGTCCCAATAAGCTATATGCACTTCTAAGAACATGAAAATGATGAAACAGTATCCAATGTTATTAAGAGATGGAACAAGATTAAAATCTCCTCAACCAGGTTCTTTCTTCTTTTTTTTTATAATAACTTTAAAAAAGATGAATACAAAAACAGGAGCATCAGGAATCTTCCCAAAGCTACAATAAGGGGAAATAAAGAAAAGGAAAATACATCAAATAAAAAAAACAACCTAGTCCCTTGGCATGTCCAGCCTAGAAAGACCCTTGAAATAAATCCAACCAAACTTTCTATCAGCATTTTGAAAACTATTAGTATATTGTCAATGTAATGGCAGGATACAACCATATTAGAAGAAATTCGTCAAGGAAGTATTTAAACTGAAGTCCGGAAGTTCCCAAAACTGGTTCAAGCACAGATAAATGCTTGAAGAAAACACCAAAAGCAAGAAATCATCTAACCCAGCATCATCAAGGTAGACTCAACCTATGTAAAGAAGTTAAGAACTCTGCATACATAATTATGGTTTTAGACATTTTGTTCTAGAAATGAGTTTATGATATATTTTCATGGTGTGATCAATTCAATGGCTCCAAATGGTGCATTACCTATGCACACAGAAGTACCCCCCAAAAAATACCACCTAAAGCAAAAAGGAAAAATAAATAAACAATGTGCGAGAAATAAAAAAGAAAAAAGGACATAATCATGCTTTCAGATTAAAACAAGCATTATCATTCAGATATCAAAAAATAAACTCATAATATAAAAGGGGAATTAATCCATCACACTTTTAAATTGACATAATCCAGGTATTAATAATTATCACTATTCCTTTTATAGTTCAAAGAACTACAATAAGAAATCTTGGCAGAACCGCACAAGATGATAAATATCCCACTTTGAAGGAAAGAGATCCCAGATTTAAAATTTGATCTTCCATTGCCATATGTAGATTTACTCCTACTCTTAACATTCCACCATCAAAAAATATATACCAACACTATACAAATATAAAATACCTGGGGAAGGCTGTTTAAGGGCATATTCCTGCACTTGAGCCCATTTCTTCTCCAACTCTTGTACAGTATCCTCCATTGCACTCTGAAACGAAAAAAGGGTTATTAATTTGGTAACAGAATCAATATAATAAAAAGTTAAACCAGTCCTGAAATACATGGCATTGATCATAATTAGTCTTTGAATCACGGATGCTACCCCCAATCCCAAAGTTCCGGATTATTCATTTAGACAGTCAAATTAGTCCTTCAATGTGTACTCTATCAATCAAATTAACCCCTAAAGGGAGATACAAATGCACATTCATGACCTCAGGCATACTTTTCATTATTGAAGACATTGTTACTTGAGTATTAAATAATAATTGATTTTTCTAAACTGTGCCAAATACACACAGTAAGTAATCAATAAACAGTAAGTTTTTATTGAAAATCATAACATTAATACTATTTATACATTATCTTGCTTTCTAATATAAATTTGTCTAACTCGTGCAAAATTGTATACGATAAGTTAAATATGTCCAAAGATAGACTCCTATTAAGAAATCAATAAATAATAAATTTTTATTAGAAATTAGACGATTTGATGTTATTGGTGCATTATCTTATTTATCAATAAAAAATTACTATACGTAGATTCTTTTTAAGCGCCGAATAATAATATGTTAAACTGTATGATTAAATGTATAAACAAACCAGTTCTTTCTTCTTATTTTCCAACTTGTCAAGCATAACCAATTCCTCATCAACAGCATCAGCATCTTTAGAATTGAGCTTGGTTTCTTCAGTTTCTTCTCCCCACCCATCAGAAACCCAAGCATGGCTTTCCAATTCAGCTCTGAGTTTCTTCTCAATCTCATCCATCTCCTGCAACTTCCGCCTCAATATATCGCGCTCTTCCAATTTCTCCTTTATCTTATTCTCGCAACTGAATATCGCGCTCTCGTACGCACCATTTTCTTCCTTCAGCGTCACCTCTCTAAGATGGGCCTGTGAATGAGCCCAAATTAATAATAATAACTAAATAAGAAATGAAAATAATAAATACGAAAATTGCGACGAAACCTGTTGTCGAGTGGAGGAGTGGGCGTTTAATTGGAGAGTGAGAGCGGCGTTGGAAGCGAGGGAGTGCGCGTGGAGATGAGGGAGGCTTTGGGAGATGTCAGGGGGAGGCAATCTCAGCCGTAGATCGTGGATCGAACGCCGGAGAGAGCTCGCCTTTCGATCGAGTTCGTTAACGTAGTTTTGCTGATCATCGGAGAAGAGAATTGGAATACTGGAAACGACGCCGTCTTCTTCTTCCTCTTCCTTTCCTCCGCCTCCACCCACCACATCTGCAGCCCAGGCCAGTAACCCTGCCATGCTTTACGACACACTCTTCAATCACTTTCTCAGATTTGTTTTCTTTTTCTAAGAATTTTCCGTTCCGATATATCTCATTTTGATGATCGTTGGATTCACACTCGAAAATTGGGGATTAGGTATTGGTAATCAGTGTCTTAAATCAATCACTAAATAAAGAAATATTATTAAATATTATGGTAAAGGTATATTCAAAATTGTAGAAGAAATACAAATATTTAAATATTATATCTTTTAATAAATAAGTTAAACTTTTAATTAAAAAAAAAATCAAAAACAAAAGTGGTGACAGGGTTGACCGTCAGCATCAGCAGTGGTGAATGGTAAAAGAATGGTATCAACGACGCATGTTTACGTTTAAGGAACAGACTAAAAATAAATCATTCCAAAAACATAATCTAAGTTATATTCATTTAAAAAACACATGAAACACACCATTTCGTTAATATTTTTTTTAAAAAGGGAATGATTAAAATTCTATCTAACTTATAAATTTGTATAAATCAATTATATATTACGTGTTTATTATATTTTATTAATTATTTGATAAAATTTTAGAGAGAAAATTTTAATTTCAATAATTAGAAAAAATGAAAACTAAATATAAACTATTAAAATTAGTAAAATTAAAATTACTTCCTAAGCTGAAATATGAAGATTAAAAGAGTAAAACCAAATTAAAATTTTAGAGATTAGAATGTTTAACCTATATAATTTGATAATTTAATAATTTATTTTAAAAAATAAAAATAAGTTAAAAAATTTTATAAGTGGTTAATTTATGTGAAATGAAATATATTTGTTTAACACACCATTTTTAATATTAAATGAGCAGAGAAAAAAAAAGAAAAAAATACAATAGATAATATGATAACAAAATAAAAAAGTAAAATAATTTTTAAAAATGGATATGAAAATTTAAGGATTATATATATGATTTTTTGAAACAATTTAGTTGGACAATTTGATTTCTCAGACTGGTCAAGTCGAGCTAATCCCTTAGTCACATATTATAAGTTGAAAACTTAATGAGTATTTTGTTAGTACATTCTTGGGAATACCGTGTGAGGCGAAAATATCCACAAAATAATAGCTTTTAAATACTTTGATTTTTCTAAAATAATACTTAATCAAATAATTATACATGTATTTAGTTTAATTTATTTTAAAATAATTATTTATGTTTTGTCAACCTTTTGAAACGAATATTTGAAACAAAATTAATTATTTTGTAAAATTTAAGTTAATTAAATATAGGCCAAGTGAAAAATAGAAATTATAAACAAATTATGAATTAAAAATAAAAAAAATAAAGATTATAAAAGAGGTTAATTGGATTAGAATTTTAAAAGACTTTTTTTAAAGACTACGCAAGATTTTTATAACTTTTAAGACTTTGCAAGATTCTGTAAGATTTTAAAATTAAGATTTTAATAAATTCTGCATAACTTTGTAGATTTTGCAGAATTTCGTGAATTTTTGACATAAATAGTTTAATATTTTTTTATATATTTAAATTTAAAAAGAATCAAAGACAAAAATAATAAAATACAACGATGTGTGGATAAATAATAATAATAATAATTCTTTGTAATATCATGTTCTCTTAAATAACATTCACCCATATATCCATAGTTATACATGTCCTTTAAGTATTGGCGTCTTCTTGCTTTTGCTCTTGGATTTGAATAATAGATTCAAAATTATAATCTTTATTAACAAAAAATATTAAAGATGATCCATCAGTTCAATTGGAAATTCATCTAAAGAACATTTTTTGAAAAGAAAATTATGTAGTGTTGCACATACTAATACAAATTCTACTTGTGTCTTAAATAAAAATAGAGATGTTGACTTAAAAATTATGAATCCTGATTTAAAATACTAAATATTCTCTCAATCACATTTTTTAAAGATGCATGACAAAAATTGAACAATTCTTTCTCATTTTTATGGTTCTTACCCAAATTTACAAAATCTTGTATATGATATCTTACACCTCAAAATAGAGCTAAAAGTTGACATTGATTAAGAAATCCACTATCAACCAAGAAATATTTACCTAATTACATATACAACATATATATAATAATAATAATAATAATAATTATTATTATTATTATTTAAAAAATAACCACTTATTTTGAGCCACTTTAAGATCATTCCTCTTTGTTATAGCATCATTTAGTAGCTTAGAATCATGAGTCGAACTCTCCTACCCATTAAGAACGTACATAAACTCCAAATCAAAATTACAAGCGGTTAATACATTTTGTGATATCTTTCCATAACGATTACGACAACAGCTTACATCTCGCCCCCTCACCATTGTTAAAGTATGTGTCCCGTCAATAGCTCCAATGCAATCCTAAATTTAGCATATATAACACTTCATCATATGAAAAATATAAATATAGTAGTGCAAAATTTAATTATAATTTTTATTGTAAGGTAATTATAATTAGTACATATCTTGAAGGAAGGGAAAAACTTTGTGCTTTATCTAATTTTAGTTAGCACTATCATTTACATTTTTACAAAATAAGGGAATGGAATAGGAACAGTAATACAATATTATATATGAGCAGTAGTACAATATTATTAGCAGAGAAAAAAAATAGAAAAGACAGAAGCATAGAAAAAAAAGAGATGAAAAACTCATAAAAATTCTTAAAGCACTTGAAAAATTACTTCAAATAATCTTCCAAAATCTGATGTGTTTTGATGAAATTGTTTTATGAATTTAGTATTTATAGATATCACTAAAAAGTCCTTCAAAATTCTTCTAATACAATAATCTTTTAAAATTTTTATATTTTTTTTAATACCAATAGATTATTTTAAACTTGTAAAAAATCTTAAATGAATATCAACAAATTTTAATTTACTCTTTAAAAAATCTTAAAAATCTAGATTGAATACAACTAAATTATTTTTAAGTGAAATAAAATTCTAATTAAATACCAATAGACTTTTTTACTTAATTTTTTTTTTAAATTCTTATGAAATTCTAAACTAATACATCCCTCTAAGAGTTAGAAAGATTTTAAAAGATTCTAAAATTTTTTAAAATTGTCTCATCTGATGTGTGAAAATCAAGCTACATAGTTTAAACAAAAAATTAAAAAGTATTTATTCGAAAATGGGAGGAGTATTAAAAAGTAAAACAAAGAAATTAAAAATAAAAATGAAAATAAATTTTCAGTGTTTTAAAATAATTTAAAGAAAAATATTTTTATTTTTATCTTTTCATAAAAAAATAGAATAAAAATTAAATTTTACAATCATATAATATATATAAATGATAGAATAATTTATATATTATTATAAATTTTTAAAAAATATTTTGATTTTAAAATAAAAAATTAAGAAAATATCAAATATTTTAAAAAAATCTTTGAGTATATAATATATTTAACTTGATATCTTTGTAATTCTATAACATGTGAATGATTAAAATAGTTTTTATATATATATATATATATATATATATATATATATATATATATATATATATATATCGCAATTAAAAACTATTATATGAATTAAAGCGAGTTAATTAAGTAAAATAAAAATATAAGAGAATTTAAAGATATTTATTTTATACTTTATTTGAAAAACTAGCTTATTCATTTTATTTTATTACAGAAATAAAAAAAAATATATCTAAATTTATAAAATGCGATTAATAAAATAATTTATGTATTGTTATTTTAATTTTTTATATGTGTATTCTTCGATTTAATTTATTTTAATAAAATTTAAAATAATTAATTTTTATTCTCCTAATAAATCATTGTCTAGAGTACATAATTTCATATTTGTAATATATCTTAATATTTAAACAAAATATTTTATTAATATACAATTTCTAAATTTATATGCCATAAAGTATAAGATAATGATAATAATAACAATTATCTAAAGTAAACTTAACATATTTAATTTGCCACTTCACTTCTTTTTATTTATTATTTATTATTATGATTATGACTTAAATCATCAACTAATAAAATGTAAAAATTCATCCAAATATCTAAATATAATTATATGAATTTTATCTTAACTTTTAAATTTTAAATTTGATTTCTTCAAGTTTTGAACAAAATTAAAAACCCATAAATTTCTAATTACGCCAAGATTTAGTTCAAAACACAAAATTTAATATTTATTTATTTATTTTGCAGTTTGGGATAAAAAAAAATTGATTTCTATTTTAAATATTATGAATTTAAATTAATATATATATATATATTCACAAATTATTATTATTATTATTGTTATTATTATTATTATTATTATTATTATTATTATTATTATTATTATTATTATTATTATTATCATGAGAAGGTGAACGAACACTGTATACAATATCCGATTAAACTCTACATGAAATATCATCTATCTAGCTTGAACATTCATTTTCTATTTTATTGTATTAGATTATACCACATATAACTCTTGGTATAATAATAATCGCAACAACCAGAAAAAAGAAACAACAAAAGGTAAAGAAAATTGTCATAAAAAGGAAATCGAAAAAAAAAGATAAGATTGAAAAATAATGAGTACTAATCACAACAATTTACAGCGGACAAACTCTGGTTACTGTTGAGAAATATATATATTATCCATGAAGAAAGTTTCTTTTTTACCTAATATTCTTAAAAATTAATTAATATTTTCCTTAGATCAATGATACAATAAACAATGCCCATTTAGATTTATTTTTGTAATAAGTGATTGAAAACACCAATAAAGTTTTATAATTACGAGTTTGCATCCCTCGTTGCACCGCCGCAGTATTGATTTGGATAGAAGAAAAAGGAACAAGAACTATGGTGATTACTGTGAAATTAACTTAATTATATTTTTCTTATATTTTAACTTATAATTACTTTGATTATTTTTAATTTTAATTGCTCAAATTTAGTCGTATAGTTTTTTAATTTTTAAAATTATTACTCACCCTAAAATTTTATCCAATAATTAATAAATGACATATAATTAATATGTATAAATTAATAAAAATATATAAGATTTAAATAAATATAATAAAAGCTTTTTTAATTTTTATTTAATTATTCTAATATATTTATCTTTGCAAACTTGTATTAATCAGTATTAAATATTAGTTCTATTTTTGTAAATTATTTGATAAAATTTTGGAGAGATAAATTTAATTTAAAAATTAAAAATATGAGAACTAAATATAAATAATTAAAATTAGTAAAACTAAAATTACACATTAAATAAAATATGAAGAATAAAAGTGTTATTAGGTAAAAAATAAAATAAAATTTTAGAGATTAGAATATTTAACCTATAATTTTAAGACTAATTTGATATTTTATTTTTAAAAATAAAGATAAGTTAAGAAGTTCGTTAAGAGGCCAATTTATGTGAAATGAGAAAGATAGTTTAACACCCTTTTTTTAATATTAAATGAGCCGAGAAAAAAGAAAAATATGATAGATAATATGATAAAAAATATATATGAAATAATGTAAAAAGAATAGATATAACAGTTTAACAATTATATATAACTTTTTTCAATCAATTTAATTGGTCAGTTTAATTTTTAAGGTTGTTCAAGTCGAGCTAATCCCTTAATCAAATGAGATATTATAAGTTGAAAAACTTATGATTATTTTGTAAGTACACTCCTAGAAATACTGTTTGAGGCGAAAGTATCCACAATATAGTTAGTAGCTTTCAAATATTATTACATTTTTTCCCCCTAAAGTAATACTTACTCAAATAATTATATATGTATTTAGGTTAATTTATTTTAAACATTATTATTTCTATTTTGTCAACCTTTTGAGAGGAAATTTAGAAACAAAAATAATTATTTTGTAAAATTTAAGTTAATTAAACATAGGCTGCTTATCAGAAAAAAATAAAAATAAACATAGGCTAAGTTTTTTCAGATAATAAAGATAGTAAAACCCTTAATATATAAAAGGTGAGTTAAAGACATTGCTAGATACATGTATAGATGAAATAATAAAATAAATACTAAAAGATGAATTATCTATATCATATCATCACATTAAATATCGCTGGAAGAATAATACTTACCCTTTGATAAGAATAAAATTACATATATTATACTAAAAAAAATTATTTACAGTAAATCATTTATAACAAATCACAAATTTATAACTTCTTATATCTATGTAAGTTTAAAAACTCTAACATTAAATCTGAATATTTCATTTGATATATATTTAATAGGTTTAAATTTAGTATAAAAATTTTTAAATTTATATCGGTATAAGAAGATTTTATTATATATATATTTACATATAATTTTTTTATAAAAAAAAAAAACAAGAATATTACATATAACTTTCTTATAGATATATGTTACAATGCACGGTATTATTTTAACATTATTATGACTTTCTTTTTAAATATCGGAACCTTTACATATTGGCATAATATTATTGATAACTATATAACAAGCAGCATGTTCATATTCAACAACCAAATCCTTCCTACTCATCTTTTCCATCACCTCTGCTATGAACCCACCACAAGAGATTACTCAAAGAGTTTCCATCATCAAAGTCTTTCAAGCTTCTTATTTGCTTCAACGCACTTTCATTATCATAAATTCCAAGCAAAGCATACACAAACCCTTTCCATGCATCTTTAGCACCTTCCCTATTCAAAGCAGGCAAAGCCCACTCCACAAGTTCAATCACATAATCAATATTTGAGAAAAGTGCTTCAGAAATAGGCAATATGGGCAATAGATGAATACCAACTCTATACTCTTTCAAAACACCAGAAGCAAACCATAGATTAGTGTCTCTCTTATTAGCCCACAGAATACCAAGGATCCTATTCTCCTCTGTAAAATCAGTCTCATACATGTGTCCATCATTTTTCACATGAAACCACATTTGTGCTGCATGAATTTCCAATGCTGTGAGTGTTGATCCGAGTGCAATAAGATTGACATCACCATATGCCATACCCATCAATGCTGCAGAATAATATGCATTCACAGCTTGACTTGTGCTCTCATGATTCCTTCCATCTGCAAACTCAGTTAACCCAGCAGCCCAAGAATGCAATTTGTAAAGGTCAAAGGACCTTAATCGTGTGTAATTGGAGTTTGATGTTGTGTCCAAGTTCATAAAATCTTCCATAAGTGAATAGGCTTTAGCCTTATACTTTATGCCCCATGATGGGTCAATTTTGGCAAGCACTGCAATGGCATAAAGGAAGTATCCCAAATGGTATTGGTGATCATTGTAAATTCCAAATCCAAAATCAGCACCACGATCAGAAGACCCTTTATAGGTAATAATGCCACCCCATTTTTTGTCATGTAGAAATCCATTCATCTGAAAAGTTCCATCCAACCATGGCTCAATTGTTTCCTTCAAAAAGTTTATAACCTTTGGAATCATATCAAAGAAGAAAACCTCTTCAGCTATCAATGCCAACCGTGCCGCCCTTGCTATCAATTTACCATAAAAATAAGATGAAGTGGTACCCATTGCTGATGCATTTAGAGCCTCAACATCATTCCCAAGTGCTTTAACAATTTCATCTCGGGATTCTTCTTTGACACCCCTTGTAGAATGCCATGATACGACAACAGAATCTGCTTTCAAAAGCCATGAATCCCCAACAACACCAACAAGATCCCCATCAATGCTTTTATACTTGAAATCATCAAGAACAAAGGCATCACTGCCATTGTTAACCAAAAGCTGAAGATGAAGAGGGTGTGCTAACAGTAACAAAGCACCAGAACCTTTCTTTTGCCACGTATATTCCACACAGAACGGTTCTTTGATCACAACATCACCTGACACGGGGTAACAAGAACTACACGAATCAAGAATAACCTCTGCATCTGAACCAGAATCAGGCAACAAAGCTATTCGAATTGTGCCAGAAAATGCTTCAGAAGTGATCTCAGAAAGGGTGTGACTCAATTTGATTGAAGAGGAAGCATAAAGGAGCCATGTTTGATTGTTGTCAAAGTGAAAGCTGAACTTGGTAAGTGACTCATTTGAAGAGAATGAGGTAATGGCATGCACAGTGGTGATGGAAAGAGGGGTTGCTTGAGTCACAAACATGGTCAAAAAGGGACTTCCTCTAACAAGGAAGAAGCACAGATTGGAAGAAGGGATATCCAAGGTAACACTGAGATCACTGTAGGAAGAGATAATGTGTTTTCCCTTGGAACTTGGCATGGATGAGATGGTGAGATCAGCGTTGAAAACTTGGTATATATAAGCTGAGTTAGACAAGCGAGATGGGTATGAGAGAGAAAGAGAAGAGTTTGAGGATTTGATGAGGTAAGGGTGAATGTATTCGGGTTGGTCACCATTTTCGAGGACGAAGTTTTGGAAGAAAGAGTTTGTGGGGAGTGGACTTGAGAGAAGGTTTTGGGAGAAGAAATTGGAGGGGTCAGGGAGGACAGTGGATTGTTGTGTTTGTGGGAAGATATAGGGAGTGTTTGCCATTGTTGGTGAAGATGGTGGTGAATGCTTAAATGGTGATTATGGTGGTGATTACTTGTGGCTTTTATAGTGTTGGGAAAGATAAATTATTAGAGGTTTCAATAGTAAAATTTATATTTCATGGTATTGGGTAATTACTATACAACATATAGTAGAGTTGTAATTTTTTTTTAAATTAAAAAATACCATCATGTGTTGCCTGGTGATTAGCTGAGAATATAGATACATAATAGTTACAGATAATTTAATAATTTTTTGTTTAAAACGGTTAGGTGAGTGTGGTTCTCACCTTTGAGTTTTTTTTTTATCATTTTCTTAATTTATACCACATTATATATATAATAAAAATTAAAAAATAGTAAACTTTTAAATATTTTAACATTTGATAATATTATTGTATTGAATTATGATGAATTCTGTAATTTTTAATAAAAATTTACTATATACAATTTTGTGTGTAATATTGTACAAACTTTAAAATTATTTTCTATTTAATTTTGCTATTTGAATTATTAAAAATAGACATTACATATTTTTTTGGTACAGAAATTTTAAAAATATATTTTAAATATAAAAAATGCTTAAAGATGTATCATCTAGTGATATTTTTTTATTATCATTTTCTGCATTGGCAGCTACTCTATCTACAACTTGGTTTATTATATTCTTACGTGTAGGACTGGGGGGGGGGGGGGGGGGTGGTTTGGGTCCTGGGATTTTGGGTGATTCTAGTTAGGAGGCTGACCTTAGTTTATTTGATTTTAGAACAAGTTGAGGGGAAGGGTTTGTTTTGGTTTGCTAAGGGGACTTGAATGAGATTAAAGGGCAATCAACTGTGGAAGTGTGGGAGTAAAGAGAATTTAATGATTGATTTAAGGGAAGGAAATCTTGGGCCTAAAATAAATGTATGTGATTGTGACAATATCAGAAATTTTTTTGGAGCAGTGCTATTTTTTAATCAAATTTAAAGTTTAAACTTTAAAAATTTATACAAAAAAAAAAATTATATTAAAGATTAATATATATTATTGAAGTGAAATTTTAATTTTAATTTAAAATAATATTAAAAATATATAATACTATACTTAAATTTTGGCAGAAATTTCACAAGGGGACAAAAACACCAAAGGTGCATCAGACCCAAAAATAAATATCCCATATCAGCAAGTTATGCATATCTGTAATGAAAAAATGAAACATGGTAAACACAAGTCTCTTAGTCACACACTTAAGAGTAAGATTGAAATTTTATCTATAAAATGTTAAATATAAAGTTGATATAGTTTTGATATATTGTCTTAATTTTATTAGTATACCTAAGAACAATTAAATTATTTATCCCATAAAATAACTTAAACAAATCCTTATCTTTGACACATTGGAATTAAGTTTAACTGTTAAAGTTAACTATTATAATTAATTTTGTTTAACTTTAAAATAACATAAATATTAATCAGTGTACTTAACTTTTATTAAAAATATTTTAATATAAATTTATTCAAATTTTTGTTTCTTAATTCATACTTTTAGAATATCAACTAGTAATATGTTATATTGATAAGTGTGTGATGGATTTTTTTAGCAAGAGATTTTGTATTCGAATCTTGCAGTATGCAAAATTTCTTTAAGACAGTAGCACCTGTGAATAAAGATTAGTTTTAAGTCGTTTGAATTTAAAACATTTTCTGCATAACACTTAAAACAAATAGTTCTTTAATGACAACGCTGTATGCATATGTAATGGAAAAATGAAACATGGTGAACACAAGTAGCTCAGTCACACAAATAAGAATCAGGTTAAAAAGTTGCCAAGTTGAAAAACTCAAATGATGTTTGAATGGAACCTCGGTGGAATTAGTGTATACCTCATTTACAATTGAAAATTAAGTTCTCTCACTTTTCAATAAAAAAATATAACTCAAAAAATTCTATGGTTAAAATTAAGAATTTGTTTTGATAATATAAAAGTACTTTACATTATTATTTAATTGTGAATTATATTATATCAATTAGAACTATTAATTTATCTAATAATTAATATAAAAATCATATTCATAATATATTTTATTTAATTGTAAGTAGTATTTTTTGGTAGAAGAAAGCAAAGAAAAAAAAAATTGCAATATTAGATATATATTTTACTATGCCAAACATCCGTCTTCAAAAATAATCTCAAGCTTATAAAAAATGAGACAAAATTTTTGAAACTACAATCTGAATGAATCTTCAGTTTAGCTAAAAATCACATATGTTATCTTTTCTCAATTACTTCTTTATATTTTAAATAAAATTAATATACCTGTATAAAAGTAGAATAATTTTTATCACAAAGTTTATAACCTTCATCGCATTAGAGTAATACAAGAGAAGTTTAATATTTAGATTTTAAGTCATTATTGTTAATCCTTAAAGCATGACTATGAATTTAACATGAGTGTTGTTAGAAATGCAAATAATCCTCAAGTTCTTTTAAATCAATTTTTGTCCTTATTTTTAATAAGAGTATTGAAACTAATTTTTATGAACTCTCAAAACATTCTCATCAATATTAAGGATGAATTTAGAAAAATTAAACTAACATTTTAGGTAAATTTAAGATTACTATTGCACTAATTTGAAGCTAATTGACGAAGTTTATAACATCAAAGATAATTTTATAAATTAGAATATTTTTTCTATAAACTAATTAACATTTTAAGCTCTTTGTATCAAATAAAGAATAATTACTTTTATATTAAGTCATAATCTAGTTGTTACTAAAAAAAATAGTTGCAAATCTTCTAATTTATAGACCTCGTGGATAAACACAAATTTTTTTATTTATTAAATATTTGATTATTATTATAATAATGTATTAAAATTAAATTCTAAAATTAATTTGAACAAGTTACAATTACTTTTAACAATTAAAATTAATTATACCAAAATCAATTTTATTTCAACTTTAAAATTAATGATTAATTTAGAATAACTTAATACCAAACAATCTACACTTTTTTTAATAAATATTAAGTTGGTTGATAGGTAAATAAAATATTTTTTTACTTTTTATTTTTTTTGACGTCAAAGAAAATATCCTTATATTTACTAGTATTCTTTTAAACTTTTTTATTTACTTTTATCTCTTTACTATCATAGTTTTTTATTTTATTGTTTTTAATATCGCAGACTTTTTTATTTAATCTCTATGAATAACAAAGCGAAAAGGAACTTTTAAAACAAAACTAAATAAAATATTTATAAATATTATTGGAACCTTTTAGCTTGGTTTTATTTTTAAAAATATTTTTTAATCACAGAAAAATGTTATCTTACTTTTACTTTGTTTTATTTTTTAAAAAGTGTATGAAAAGATTATAAATAATGAAAAACCATTTTTACTATTTCATATATAATTTTTAAAAATAAAATAAAAACACTAGCATTTTTTATAATTGAAAGTAAATATAGGAAATGAAAATACAAAATATTTTTCCAATTAAGCGGGCCTTCTTTTTTCTGTTTTTTTTTATTGCTAAAATTTGGCTGCTCATGGCGTTTACATATATAACACATGGAGTAAATGCCACTTTCGTTTATGAGGGGGTTCTAAATTTATAAAAAATTAAAAATATTTATATTTTTTATTCAGTTTGATTTTTATTCTCATAGTTAAATCAAATTGAATTGCATCTATAATATATTGACATTATTTTTTCTTTTATATTCTTATATAAAAACTAATTTTTTTTAATATTACCAGCAGGCTAACTTATTTTTTTAATATTTTTAAAAATAATTCTTAAAATAATATTTTTTAAATTATATCACAATTTAATTTATTTTAAAATATATTTTTTTATAAAAACACTCTTAAACATTGGTTTGACATAATTTTCATCAAAATACTCTTTTTATTAAAAAAATAAAAAAAATAATCTAAAGTGAATTATGTAACATCCCAGATTTTATAATAATATTTTAATTACTATATATATATATGGTTTTCCATGTGTTTGTATGATTGATTATGTGATAATAATGTATATTAGATGGTGGTGTGAATGCATGAGGTGGATATATGCGTATACATGAGATAAATATGGATGCGTATAAATGTGTTTGTATATGGTTGCACTGGATTGATTGGGCTGAGAAATAGGTTAAGTGTGTAAAACTGGGATGTTCTCGCTGTAGCGAGAGAGCCCTGGAAGGAAGGCATGAAACTGTCGCTTTCTCGCTGTAGCGAGAGGTCCCTCGCTGCAGCGACAAAGCAACAGTTTGGGGTGCAGTCTTACTACAGCGAGAGGATCTCGCTGTAGCAAGATTCTGCAGAAATCAGAATGCAATTCTTTCTGAGATTTTCGCTGTAGCGACAAGAGACATCGCTGCAGCGAGAATGTGCCGCTGTAGCCAGCGTGTCGCGATTAGAGAAGTATTTAAGGGGTTTAGGGTTAGGAAAACGTATTTCTCACCTTCCTTTCGTTTTCTCATTCGGTTCTCTCAATCCCTAGCTTTTTTCACCAATTAAATTTTCCCTTAAGTCGTTCGTGCCCTAGATTGGAGGCTAGATTCATGTTTGGAACATTTGGAGGTAAGTGTATTGAGTTAGGGTTCTCGATTTTTACCCCCTTTCTTCATCTATGTTTAGGACAAGAATTTGTGTGAGAAGTGTTTCTACCGTTGATTCTGTGGTGGGTCTCCATTCTAAGGTAAGGGGGAGTAAATCCCAAACCTAACCTCTCTTGGGTAGTTAAAATGGAAAATTGGTAATTATTTTGATAAGTCTCCAAACAAAATTTGTAATAAAGGCTGTAAATAAAACTGTTTTTGAAGGAACACTATGTTTTTAGTAAGCAAACATGGTTTGAGGGTAGTTGGAATGATGCTAAACCTTAGGGTAGATGACTCTATTGTTATTATTGAGAAATGTGAGTGATACGACTGGGCTAAGTCTGGAGGTGTCCGACCTCCGACACTTTGTATTGATTGTGTGATGTATGATGATTTTCTGTGTTGGATGA